AAAAGTAGAAACTCGAGGTGGGCATCAAAGATTTTATTGATTAAAATTCAAATATGACTTGATCTTTTAGCTGCAAAACATATGTGAAAAAGAACATTCTAAACTAACCAAATTTAAAAAGTGACACTGACTCTGAATGATGGTGCAGCATAAATAGATAACTTGAAAAGAACTGAACTTGATTTCCTTAAAAACTAAATGCAGGTGATATTTACATCCATGTCTTGCTTTGACATTCTTTAGATCTTTTTTTTTTTTTTTTTACACCTATTCCAGTGTCTTTACTTCACTTCACCATGGAGGCTATGTTGTGTGTTATTATCTGGTGCGTGCTTGTTGATTTATCCACAGCATAAGTTAAAAAGTAATGAACAGATTTTAATGAAAATATTTGGAGAGCCCCATTGAACAATCCATTAGATTTTGGTGTTGATCCAGATCATCATCTCAAAATTTTCTCTATGGCGTTATGGGGAAAGCGGTCTGCCTTGGTGGAGGTTTGCACTCTCTGAATACTGTTTAGTTTCCTCTACTTTCTGAATTTGCAGTTGTACAGGTTATTCTTCTTTAAAACTGATTTATGGGATATGAGTCAGTATCTCTTTAGCTCCAACAACTTACGCTCACACAAGTGCACAAATACAGACAGACACACACACACACATTCACAGACATGTTTTCTTGTAGTTGTCTCATGGTTTAGAAATGTTTTTATGTATGTACTAAAATAATGAATGTGAATTAGACTGGCAATTTATATTGGTCAACCACCACAGTTGTTATTCTGAACCAGTCTTCAGTCAATCATTTTGAAGCCTTTTAAGGTGCGTGTGTGTGTGTGTTTTAGCAGTCATCTTTAGGGTGAGACGTCTAGAGCAATCAGTCTTGATGTAGTGGAAAGAGACCAGTGTGTTTGATTGAAGGGTCACTTCATACAATGGAGAGCCTACTCTTATTTCACATAGTGAACACAATGGTCAGTTCCATTTTCTTCTTGTATTTGTTGTCTTTATCTCTTCTGTTGCTGTCTTTCCTTGCATCTCCTTTGTTTCTGTTAAGAGCACAGCTATCATAATGAATCAAGATTTTCCAACGCTAACACTGAGCTATCATGTTCAGCTGGAAAAGAGGGTCACTACTGAGAGGGCAGGATCATAACTATGTGTGCATGTGCATATTTTTGTTAGTGTGCAAGATAAAGATGGTAGTGGTGGTCTAATAGTAAATCTGATGGGCCTTTGTGGCTCTTTACAGGATGCGTGTGTATCCATAGATAGATCTATATATTTATCACACCCACACACACACGTATGTATGTACATATATATATATATATATATATATATGTGTACACACACATATTTCATCTTGTAAAAACACCAGTTGCTGATAGATAGAGCAGTCACCAACGACTCAAGATCCAGACAGACCAACCCAAGTAGAGCCTGGATCGACTACAGGAAAGCCTACAACTCAGTGCCGTACACATGGATCTGGAAATGCCTGGCACTATAGAGTAAACAGGGCCTTCATCAACACCGCAATGGGACTGTGGAGAACAACCCTGGAAGTCAACTCTGGACCATGAGAGTACAAAAAACTGGAGGAAGTGCCAGGGCCTGAAAAAGGAACTGGAGAGGATATGGAAGGTGAAGGCCAAAGTGGTCCCAGTGGTGGTAGAACCATTCAGAGCCTTGAGGGGGATTTCCCTTCTCACCCCTACAGTCAGTGTGTGTCTTCTTCATGGTTCTGTGCTGTATCTTAGCTGTACTTGGCACTGAACTTATCTATTCCCCCTCTTGTCTCCTTTCCCTTCACTCCTGTCTCATCGTCCTAAAATCATCTTTTCTTTACACTTCACTCTAATCAGCACCGGTCCTAGATACAGGGCAGGTGTCACTATTTTAGGATGCAGTTGAGCAAAGAGATGTCAGTATAAAATTTACACATTTTTAAATTTTTTCTTGCAATCTTTTTTGTTTTACTCTTATGTTCATCACCTCCATCCTTCCTTTATCACCCGTTCCTTCTTCCTGTCTCTCTGTCACCATTTTTCTTCTCTCTCCTTACAGCCCCAGAGGGGTTGTCCTCTCCGATGTTGGTCCATGCAACTAGTACCAGCCTGAATGTATCCTGGTCTGCTCCAGCCCACGCCAATGCACCAGGCCCACTTCGCTACAGCCTGCAAATGAGAACCTCCACACAGAGGCCTGTGATAAGGTGAGAGAGAGAGAGAGAGAGAGAGCGCATCACATGCACAGACATCCTAGATAAACACATGGAGAAGTTTACATACGGTTGTCCGCAAGTGCTCTGAGACAGACATGACAGACATGCACAGCAATCTCAGATACATACTGCATTTATCTGCACCTAAAAATTGTGAACATACACACACTCATATGCATACATATGTACATACAACGGGGTACATTATACAGCACCACTGAGTATGTCACATCAATATGACAGACCATCAGAAAAACAGACGGAATGAGCTAGAGAGACGAGGAGCAGAGTCAAAAGACAAAAAATCAGACAGGGTGGGGGAGGTGGGGGTCAAGAAAATGTGATAGAATAAAAAGAGGGAGAAAGTGTGCGTCTGATATGTATTCATTACATGCTTCCTGACAACAAATTGCAATTTAATCCAAGAAGAGGAGGCTCTCATTCTGTGGTAATAAATAAATGACTAGCTACATGTATTATATATCAGACAGCTATGCCCTCCTTCTCTTCTGCTATGGAAATCTCATTGTTCCCTGATTTATTCATTCATTCATCCCTGCATCCATCTGATGCTAAATGGTCAACAGTCCCTCATTTGTGACTACATTCTTCTACTTTTTATAGATTCCTTTGTATGATTATATGATATGGGATCAGCTGTGGCATGGGGATATGATAAAAAAACTAGTAAACTAAAAAATCTAGTACATTTGCCTAGATAGTCGGAAATTAGTGAAAATATGAAACCTTGCATAAAACTACACTTCAGAAATGTAGAAAAATATGTAAAAAGTATTTTTTCTTGAAAAAAGATAAACATCCTTTGTGTTATATGAAATGTATGACAACCCTAAATCAGAAAAAGTTGGGATGGTGTGTAAAATCCAAATTAAAACAGAAAATAGAGATGTGTAAATCATCTGTGTCCTGTATTAGATTGAAAACAATACAGCAGCACATTATTTGATGATACCTCATCAATTTTATTATTTTTTTCCGACATTAAACACATTTCAATTCTGATGCCTGAAACCCATTCCAAAAAAAGTTGGGATGGTTGCACTTCAGAGCCAGTAAAGAGGTAAAACAATCAAATTGTAGATTCCATTTGAAACAAGTGATGTCAACAGGTGAGTGCATCATGATTTGGTGCAAAACTGGCATCCAGGAAAAGCCAACAGTATTTTTGTGTCTGTCCACCCACTTCTAGGCTTCTGGAAAATGCAGCAGACATCTTTTCCTATCGTGTAGAGGGCCTTTCTCCGTACACACAGTACCTGTTTAGAGTGGTGGTTTCACACACACATGGACAGACAGCTGGCCCCTGGGCAACCCTGCACACAGCAGAGGACAGTAAGTACACTAATACACACTAAGGGGGAGGGGGGGTTCATTACAGAAACCTACCAAAACCAGTTGTGCAGAGTAAAGCTTGCCACAGCTTCTGTTTGTTTCCACTACACTCGGCCCGCTTTGGAGGTTTGTTCTGGGAGCTAAATTTCAGCACCACGTAAAATCAAGCACCAGGGAGGAGGGGGCGCATGTGAGCAGAGCAGTTGATTGGTTAAATGTCCACGTCTTCACACCTCAAGCATTAGCATTGCAAGCGCTGTGTGTAAACACAACTGACTGCGTGTGTGAGAGGGGTGCAGTCCCTCCCTCCTCAAAACAGAGGCTGACAGAGAAAAAAAGACAGTGGAAAAACAAAGCGGGACAGTCGCCATCAACCCTGGAGGCAACGCTTGGTGATGGTTAAGGAAATATGGGGTATACTGCTCCGTTTTGGGGGTCACCACAGCAAATTGTCACACTGATGACTCGCATGTTGACATTTGGCACGTGTTTTACGCTGGTTGCCCTTCCTGACGCAACCCTGATTCGAACCCGGGCCGCAGCGGTGAGAGGGCTGCGCCTTAACCACTAGCCTACCAGGGTCTGATAGATCTCCTGAATTTAGGTGATGATCTAAATGGTAGCCTTGAACATTAAACATGTGGTCTGTGGTATGTAAACCTAGGCCTGTGCCCAGCTTTGTTTTCTGAAAGTCTCTAAACTTTCATTAATTTGTTGATATAAGTAGGACTAGTCAGTATGATCAAGGCAACAAGGAGGTGTGACAAACAAAATATACTAAAAATGAAGAAGATGGTGAAAACATGGGCTCAAGATCAGATGAAACACACTGACAGAGTGAGATTTGCATACTGTGAGGTTTGTTGCCTGTGTGTGAGTGACCTAGCCAGTGTCATTGTGGGCTAATTGCTGTAATAGAATCATATTAGCCACTGGAACAGCCTCCTCAGTACAAAGTTATAAATTAATTAGTACCATGCTATTATCAAATACATTATCATTAAGCAGCCAAGATTTGCATTCTTTAGATACATGCGCATGTACATGCACAGGAATGTGTATGTACACATGTATGTGTGGCATACATATAGCACACAATCACACAAACAACTGCAGTTGAACATACTGATGCAAGGACGCACACTGAGACATTAGGATGCATTAAGTTGTAGTTTTTTGCTTTTCTTCTATAAAACGCCCTGAGATTGTGTCATTCATACACACCTCCTTGTCCTCATCAATCACACACCACCTCACGCTCACCAGAAATAGCATGTACTCATAAAGTTTCAAAACAGGTGGACTCATCCTCAAAAAGCGCGTATTCACAGATTAACACTGTGGCAGATTAAGTGTAGGTATAAGTTAAAAAAAACGTGTACAGTCCCCTTGTTTCTTTTGCTATACTACTGTATCTACTTCTGCCTCTGCTACTGGTGGAGTTGAAGTTAAATCTGACAGTTAACATTTTATTTATCATTAAAACACAAAATCACAAGATGGGATGATACTTAACCTACACCTGCAGTAGCTGGCACAGAGGTGATGCAGCCACAGAAAAAATAATATTGTATATGTGCCGCTGTGTGTTCCACCCATTAATTAGTTCATTTTAACAAAATACACGTTTTGAAGTCTGTTCTTTTCTCTTTGCCCTATATTATGTAAATCTTTTGAAAACATTCATGACTATTCATGGCCTTCTGTCATAATGATTTCCTTAAGTTACTAGTAATAAAGTGTCACATTTTACAGTTGATTAATAACACCCATTCATGGATGTACACTTTTTTAAATCTGAAAATACCCAAAGTATACCTGTCTTTTACCATAGTAAGGGGCAATTGATATATTGCATCTTTTGCACTCTCACTAATTATTTTAAATGGAGACATGCAACAAGTGCACTTGCAATAGAGAGAAAAGCCCCTGTGACACACATGCATTGCGATGCTGTGCATGTCTAAGCCATAGCAAGCTTTAAAAATCTCAACTTTTTAGAATGCAGCAAGCATACCTCAGGTCATATGACAAGAACCAACCAAGCAGCTTTACCCTTTCGTAACAACATCCGGTTCAAAGCTCAACCAAGATGGAGCACAGAGTTCTTGGACTAGTTGGTGAAATTCTCTGTGTTTCTTCATGCTTGAAGGATGGGGGTGCACCCAAACACAGTGTTTCCCCCCTCCCCTTATATGTGGATTAAAGATTAAAGGTACGGGCAGATTTTATGCATTTGATTTGACATTAGGTGTATTGTTTGGAAATACACCGCCAATCAATTAAGCATGCACATTTTGTTAATTTGTGTTACTTCTCTTTTCTTGAGTTACCATATTGCTGGTTCGAGGGATGGGGGTCATCCAGACAAAAAGATTGGACTATGGCAGCAGCAGGCTTAAATACTTAAATGCCTACCACCAGGCCTGGACTGTACCAACTGTCCAATACAGGAAAGGGGGGATTTGGGAGAAATTTATTTGGTTGTATATTATGTTGTTGTTTTTTTTTACTTTTGAGAACATATTACGTTGTTAGCAGCCTGTGTGTTTAATGTTTATTGGTAGATTATTTGGTTAGTGTCTCTGTCCATTCCCCGTTTGTGTTACTGGTTTGGCCAACCAGCATGTATGTTCCCCATCTGTGTCATTTCACAAGTGAGTTTGTCTGTGTGGGGTTTTGTGCACTTCAGCTACAGTTCAGTTTGCCATATTCTAAGTTTCCTTATCTTTTGTTGACCTCTTTTAGGGCCCAATTTATTTGATAATGGTGTTCCTTTGTATTTTTTTCTGTTTTGGGGTAAATGATAAGCTCATATTTTTTAATTTAAGTGCTGTGCCCTTCACCTTACTGTTTGGTCCCTGACAGGGGGCTAATGACAGACAGAACATGGAAAAAGAGAGACCCACACTTCTTCCTTCCCTTTTTATCATTCC